CCCTTAACAGTTAACACATACTGTATATTTTCGGTAAAAATAGAAATGAACATTTTGTAACTATTTATTTTAGTCCAACCACGCGTTCAGAAAAATTTAATTTTTATGTGATGTAAAAAAGTTAAAAACATTTCGTTGTTGTCAACTCTAAAGGGGATGGGGATGGTTGTGCTCGTAAATTGACGGATCTCTTCTACATTTGCTCATCTTTCATTCGATAACATATTAGATAAAGAGATGTATACGTCATATTTGAAATTTATCAAACAAAAACAAGAGCAATTTGGCATGATTAATATTCCTGTTAGTTCATTTTCAGTTATCACAGTTTAATTCAACAAAATTAGTCAATTTTCTGTTTAACTCAATTAGAATACCTGGATTAATTTCAGCGAGCTTTTGACAAACATTCCAACATCTCATGTACCCTTCAAGATTCAAATGTGCAAATAAGTAGGAGAACGAGAAAGAGAGACGATTCTGAATCATTTACACTAAAAGATTCACCAAAATGCAAAAGCACCAAATCTCATGTCTAATAGAAGCATATATACATGCCAATAATGTTTTTTGCATCAAACTAAACTCAGAACAAGAAACTATACACTCTTTTCTCGTTAGAAGGCTACTCATTTCGTCTATTTTACGCAAACATTATTATATATGATGCACTTGTCTATCTATCTGTCGTAGAGGTTGAAGGTGAGTGATCATTGATTGAAAAAATCGGAAAACTCCTTGACTAAATCTTGATGATCCTGAACAAGTGTAATGACCTGCAAAAGACAACAAAAGCAAATCAAACCAACACTGTGCACACCAAAAAATAATGAACAGTAACGCCTTGCTAGAAACCAAAAAAGTGGCACACCAAGAACCTACCTCATGGTACACCTCATCTCTGGACATGTTTCCCTCTCTATGCATTCTCAATAAATGGAGGAATGATTCATATACATGACTATCATCGCCCTGAAACTTTTCCTGCATTTGATGTCACAATTCTTAACTTGATTCGTTTACCATATTAACATATAATATTAACGTGCCTACCTGAACTTTGGCAACCAAATTGTATGCTCTCGGATAATCTTGGTGGAGACTGGAAAGTGTACTGAAAAACAGAAGCAGCATCAGGTGCACTTTTATCAGCTTTCACATGTGTGTTTCTATGTAGACTGAGACTTGAAGAGCAAACCAAACATACGAGGGAGAAAATAATTCATACCTACGGGCTCTAAAATCGTTCAAGAGCTTTTTAAATTCTTCATATTTTGCAGGTTCATCATGAAATGCTTCCTGCACAGCAGTGATGTATAAAAGGTCACCATCCATAATTAGCTCCAGTGGTTTGAAATATCAAAAGCGATATGTCCTTAGGATTATAGCATTCTATACGACAATACCTTAAGTTTTCGAACCCTTTTCACAAAATCCTATGCATCAGAATGAGTAGGTTGCTGGAAGGAAGACAATGAAACCAAGAAGCAGATTCGGTGATCTTTCATGATTCCGAAAAGCTGTAATCGTCGCCGTTATCTTGCCGTCGTGCTCTTGCATGTCGAT